CTAGAGATCGTCATTCTAAGTGAAGTAAGCCAGAAAGAGAAAGAAAAATACCGTATGATATCATTCATATGTGGAATCAAGAAAAAGAAAAAAGAGGACACTAATGCACTCATCTACAAAACAGAAACAGACTCACAGACATAATAAATAACCTTATGGTTACTAGGGGAAAGAGGGTGGGAGGGGATACATTTGGGAGTTTGAGATTTGCAAATGATAACTACTACATATTAGAATAGAAACCAAATTTCTTCTGTGTAGGGAATCATATTCAATATCTTATAATAACCTTTAATGAAAAAGAACGTGAAAATTAATATACATATACATATGCATGACTGGGACATTGTGCTGTACACCAGAAGTTGACACATTGTAACTGACTATACTTCAATTTAAAAAAGGGACTTACACATTAAAAAAAATTATTAATGTAATGGCTAGTATCACTTTAACTTTAGTTTGTAACTCCAAATCTTGTTTTCTGCATAATTTAGGAGACTGATACATATAAAAGAACTATTAGTTTATATTTTCCAGTATACAACATATAAAGATGTAACTTTGTGATAGCAATAACCAAAAGGGATGGGGACAGAGCTGTAGAGGAGCAGAGCTCTGGTATGTCATTGAAGTTAAGCTGTAATAAATTCAAATTGGAATGTTATAACTTTAGGATGTTAATTGTCATCTCCATGGTAACCACAAAGAAAATAGCTGTAGAATATACACAAAAGGAAATTAAGGAATTTAAACATTTCACTACAAGAAATGAACTAAACACAAAGGAAGACAAGATCACTATAGGGTATATAGAAAACAAACAGCACAATGGCAGAAGTAAGTCCCTTCTTATCAATAATTACTTTAAATGTTAATGGATTAAACTCTCCAATCAAAATACAGAGATCGGCAGAATGGATAAAAACACACAACCCAACTATTTGCTGTCTACAAGAGACTCAAGTGAAACCCAAAGACACAAATAGGTTGAAAGGGAAAGGACAGGAAAAGCTATTCCATGCAAATAGCAACCAAAGGGGAGCAAGGGTAGCTGTACTAATATCTGACAAAACCAGACGTTAAATCATAGAAGGTTACAAAGGACAAGGATATTATATATTAATTAAAGTCTCAATACAGCAAGAAAATACAACAATTATAAACATTTGCACACTTAATGGCAGACCATCAAAATATATGAAGCAAAAATTGACAGAATTTGAAGGGAGAAAAAGATGATTTCACAATAATAGTTGGAGACTTCAACACCTCACTCACAATAATGGATAGAACAACCAGACGGAAGGTAAGTAAGGAAATAGAGGACTTACACAACACAATGAACCAACTAGATCTAACAGACATATACAGAACATTACACCCAACAACGGCAGCGTACACATTTGACAAGGGCGCCAAGATCGTTCAACGGAGAAAGGATAGTCTTCTCAACAAATGGTGCTGGGAAAACTGGATATTCACATGCAAAAGAATGAAGCTGAACCTTTACCTAACACCAAATACAAAAATTAACTTAAAATGGATTAAATGACCTAAGTGTAAGTCTTAAACAATAAAACTCTTGGAAGAAAACATAGGAAAAAAGCTTCACAACATTGGATTTGGCAATGATCTCTTGGCTATGACACCGAAAGCACAGGTGACAAAAGAAAAACTAGACAAACTGGACTTCATGAAAACTAAACAATTTTATGCATCCAAAGACACTATCCACAGAGTAAAGAGGCAACCCACAGAATGGGAGATAATATTAATATCCAGCATATGCAGAGAACACCTAAAATTCCATGACAACAAAAAGAATCTGATTCAAAAATGGGCAAAGGACTCGAATAGACGTACATTCAAAGAAGATATATGGATGGCCAATAAGCACATGAAAAGATGCTCAGAATCACTAATCATTAGGGAAATGCAAATCAAAACTATAATGAGATACCACCACACATCATTAAGATGGCTACTATTAAAAAGCAGAAAACAACAAGTGTTGACAAAGATGTGGAGAACTGGAACCCCTGTGTACTGCTGGTGGGAATGTGAAATCGTACAGCTGCTGTGGAAAACAATATGGAGAGCCCTCAAAAAAATTAAAAGCAGTTAACCATACGACCCAGCAATCCACTTCTGGGTATATACCGAAAAGAACTGAAAGCAGGGTCTTGAAGAGGTATTTGTACATCCATGTTCATAGCAACATTTTTTACAATTGCTAAAATATGAGAGCAACCCAGTGTCCATTAAGTGATGAATAGATTTCCAAAATGTGGTATATTTATACACTGGAATATTATTCAGCCCTAAAAAGGAAGGAACTTCTGTAATATGCTACAGTATGGACAAACCTTGAGGACATTATGCTAAGTGAAATTAGCCAGCGACAAAAGAAGACAAAAACTTTATTATTCCATTTATATAAGGATCTTAGAGTAGCCAAAATCATAAAGACAGAGAGTTATAATGGTGGTTAGCAGGGGCTGTGGAGAGGGGAGCATGGGGAGTTATTGTCTAACAGGTATAGAGTTTCAGATTTACAAAATAAAGAGTCATGGGGATGGATGGTGGTATGGTTACACAACAAGGTGGAAGCATTTTATACCACTAAACTCTACACTCATAAATGGCTAAGATGGGAAATTTTACATTATGTGTATTTTTGTTTTATTGTTTTTTTGCTTGGGGGAGGTAATTAGGTTTATTGATTTATTTTTAGAGGAGGTGCTAGGGATTGAACCCACAACCTCATGCATGCTAAGCATGTGTTCTACTGCTTGAACTATACCCTGCCCCCTTACATTATGTGTGTTTTAACACAGTAAAAAAATATTTTTAAAACTTCAGCTTCTATGAATGAATAAAACCAGGTAGTTAATCCTACCTTTCCAACTTACAGAATGTGACTTTGATAAACTTATTTCTCCCAGCTGTGGTACATGTTACATAAAAGTTTTGTATATCTTCTAATTCTACTGGTTAACAGATACAGATGCAGCAGGGAGTTGCATAGCTCAGGGGTAGAGTGTGTGCCTAGCACGCACAAGGTCCTGAATTCAATCCCCAGGACCTCCATTCAAATAAATAAATAAATAGTAACATTTAAAACACCCAAATACAGACGGACACGTCGTACACGCCAGGCACTGGGTTAGACCCTAGGATGCCATAACAAGCAAAACAGAGACAGATACAAGTCTTGTCACCTGGGAGGCGTTTCCTAAACAGGTGCTGCTGTTCTTCCCTTTATGTACAGTGACCCTTGAGCAACCCAAGGTTAGGGACTCCAAATCCTCCCTGAAGTCAAAAATCTGCATATTTCACAGTTAGGATTCCATTATCTGAGGTTTCGCATCTGCAGATTCAACCATCCGTGGATCGTGTAGTACCATAGTACAGATTTAGTGGGGGAAAAAAAATCCATGTATAAGTGGGCCCACGCAGTTCAAAACCATGTTGTTCAAAGGTCAACTGTATGTTCTACCTGGTCTGCAGCTAAGAAGTCAGAGGAATCTTGGCATTGTTGAGAACAAAGTCTTTTCTCCATTATAATTTATTTCTAGGTGAAACCAGCTGGTAAGTGTTATGATGGTTAATTTTATGTGTCAATTTGGCCAGGCCATGATACCCAGATATTTGGTCAAACATTATGCTGGATGCTTCTGTGAAGGTGGGTTTTGGATGAGATGAACATTTAAATCAGTGGACTTTGAGCAAAGTAGATTATCTGCCATCATCTGGGTGGGCCTCACCCAATCAGTTGAAGGCCATAAGAGAACAGAGACTGACTTCCCCTGAGCAGGAGGGAATCCTGCCAGCAAGCAGCCCTCAAACTGGAACTGCAACGTCGTCTCTTCCTTGGGTTTCCAGCCTGCTGAACTATCTTGCAGATTTTGGACATGTACCTTCATAATCATGTGGACTAATTTCTCAAAATAAATCTCTCTCTTCTGCGTAGATATACACATCCATTTTGGTTCTGTTTCTCTGGAGAAGCCTGAATAACACACATGCATGCTCACAAAACTTCACATAACACACACTAAAGGCAGTCAGATGTGAAGGGGAGATGGTATGGGAGAGGGGCCACAGCTCCCAATACTCACCATTGTCAGTGAAAATAAATGTGTTTTAGATGCTAAAGCTTCAAGGATTCTTAGAAATAATCTAGATCTGTGATATCCAAACTCCTTTTTTTCCAAACCAACTCTTACACAGAATTCCAGTATACTGAAATGGGTAAAGGAACCCACTTGTTTCAACTGTCTTATTTTTCTTCTCTCTCCTCTCCCCAAGGCACCCCCGAAGGCACATCTCCTGAACTTGAGCGATCCGGCTCCTTGATTACAAACAGCATGCCCCCAGTTTTATTTTCATGGGAGTGCTACTCAAGTCTGCACCGACATCATAATAGACACAAACTCCTTATGCTCAGAGCTCTTGAGCAACTATGATAAACAGATTTACAAATTCAATAAAAATATTACTTCCAAAGCAATTCAATTTAATTTAATAACATTAATTTCATTTGCCGGATGATGTTGTTTTGCTGGAACTAAATTGCTGCTGCTGATGGGAATACACTGATGACTTCTATGGAGACAGTTTTCTTGTGTTTGACTTGTCCGTCCCTTTCTGTTAAAATTACCGGACCACCTTCATTTATGGGGGGCCCTATGGGATCGTTTGGCCTTGATGTGGATATAGTTGAGACGTCTACAGTTCTTTTCTGGGTACTCCCTGGAAATGAGGGCAGTGCTGCCTGACGCCCAAGGGGAGATACACACAGACAGACACCCAGGCTCTGGGCTGGGCAGCAGCCATTGGTCAGAAGAGGGCAGCGGAAGGATCCAGAAAAAGTTTACATGATTTTTCATCAACATGAAAAATTAGTAGATGATCCAAGTCTAATAATGAGTGAGCTGAAGTGAAGGTGTGTGGGTGTCTTTGTCATACTTTTGCAACTTTGCCATGGGTTTGAATTTTTTTTTAATTAAAATGTTGGGGGGAAAAGAAATTCTATATTCCACTCCACAGTGTAAGAAGCATTGATCTTCAAACTTTTATTTATAGATTGGAAAATTGAGAGATGATTTACGGGGATGCTACCAGGCTAATTAGTGGAGAATCAAGATCGGAGCCTCAGTCTCCCTGCCTGGACCGTTCCCCAGACCATGAATTGTAGGGCATGCAAGGCTCACACTGTTAGATTTCGCTGTAAGAAATTGATGGGGATTTCGCAATACACAGAGCTGAGTTTCCAGAGCCCTGCTAAGCTGATCTTTGAGGAACATCAGCTTGTGCACCCCACACATCACAGGGGAACAGTCCACCCTGCACAGAGAAGGAGCTTTTCATTCTTAAACAGAACAAAAATCTCTTGGTTCTCACGCTCCAGTGACTAAATCCCCCTCCAGTCAGCACCACCTGAGACTGGGCAGGGCGGGGAGGCAGGGCTGGGGCCACGCGCATGCCTGGACCCACCAGAAGGCACCTTCTAGGCTCTAAGTCTTGCCTCCAGCCCTGCACTTTAGTTTTTCATCAGCAAAAAGAGAAAACATAAAGCTTAGGGAAGGAAGCAAAAATTATTATACATAAGAGTGAAATAGGGAAGAACAAATCTGACTCCATATTAGCTCTGTTCCTTTAGCTCTAACCCTGTGCTCTGTTTCCTGGGCTCAGTCATGCTGGCTCTGCACCTTTTGTAAAAGAATCGTGCCAATAGCCTGAAATCCACAGGAGAGCCCACTCTCAAGGCTCTGACCTTTAAGCATATAACACTTCCCACCCACACAGAGATTAAAAAGTTGCAGAACAGAGAATCACACTCCTCTCATTGGAGGTTTACAGGAACACCATGACCTGACCTACGTGGACGGCTGCAAGAACAAAGGATTCCGACAGCAAGAAGTTTGCAACAACCAACCACACCCCCTCCCCCTTTTTAGTATAAAAGGAGCCTGGATGCTGACTTGGGGAAGAGATTGTTTAGGACATTAGTCCTCCATCTTCTTGGTCTGCTAGGTTTCCAAATAAGGTCACTGTTCCTTGCCCCAACACCTCGTCTCCTGATTTATTGGCCTGTCGTGCGGCCAGCAGAACGAATTTGGACTCGGTAACAAAAAAGCACTTTGAAAAGAGGAGTATGAAATAAAATGCAAAGGTTTAAGGAAATGCGCATTGTTTAAACCATCATTTCCCCCAAGGGACAGGAATCTGATTGCAGGGTTAAATAGCTGACTGACTGAAAGATGTGGTTGCCACCAAAAGCACTGACATGACTGAGTTGCTAAGAGTTTGTGAAGGGTTCCAGCAAGTCCTGTTGTCTCTATGGAACCAAGAGGGTCAAGTTCATGGGAAACAGCCAGGGGGAACCATCAGGTCCTATTTCGTGTGAAGCACAGACACTGTAGATACTCATCATAAGAAATTACATGTAAAAAGGGCTGTTCAAAGAAAATCTCGTTCCCTCCGCTGCAGACACACAGAACTGCAAATACATGGCAAGAAGAAAACCAGCCTTTGGTTTCCAATAAACAGTCAACAGCTTCTCTAAGCTATAATCTAGTTCTTAAGGGTCTACACTTAACGATTAAGCTGGGGATGAAGCCATTTGACCACAAACCTTAGAAGTTGTGCAATGTTTTCCACAAATGTTAGGTTCACAGTTCATTAGAAGGATCCCGGGTCCTGGGCCAGGGGACCAGCCAGCATTCTGGTGCCTCTGGGAGAGTCTGGTGGTGGGAAATAAAAGTCTCTAAACTGTCAGGGCAACTGGGAAACACGAGTTCATAAGTTGCCTGAGCAATTTGATTCGTTGTTCCTACTTTACCTCACTTTGGAGCACAGAGGAAACCCGCATGGGCCAGTCCAGCCTGCGATGACTTTCAGTGGAACTTCTGGACCAGCCAAAAGGTAGTTTCTGGAGAGAGATGCTTCATTTTGATCTGCTGGTGCCTAAAACTGTTGCCACACTGCACCCATTCCTCAGACCACACTGGCCCTGGTGATGTCACTGCATCCCACGGTGGCATCCACCCTCCACCTGCTCCCAATGCACCTTTTCCAAGCCATTTCTCCAGGCTGGATCTGTGCCCCCCCCCACCTCCGCCACCCCTGCATTTGGATGGTTCCACTTGGAGTCCCACGGGCACCCAGGCTCATGTCCCAGTGGAGCTCAGGGGCTCCCAGCCCCACCCCGCCCCTCCTGGTGTTTACTGTCCTCCTGGACACCTGAGTGGCGTTCTTGCCCCCTCCTGGCATCCTCATGTCTGTTTCTCGTCTCTCCCCTCTTCTCTCTCCGCGGCCCCTCTTCCACCCCCTCCCCCCACACACTGCATGATCCCAGCGTGGTCCTCCCACCTTGACCTTGTTCTCCTGGACTCTGCCCTCCTCTGAGTCATCTTCTTCAGGGCAGCAGTGAAGGCCACCGGGTCTGCTTTCTACCTCCCCTCCCTCAACCCTCACGTTCCATCAGGGCCCGCGTGGTGGCACTCTACACACTCGCCGTGCTGTTCCCAGGCCACCAGCTTCCACCCGCTTCCCCTCTGCCTGCGATGCTCCTGTCCAGCCTCACTGCCTGACGGCTGCTAACTCATCCTCACAGACGGAGCTCAGGGCTCTGCTCCTCCTGGAAGTGGTCCTCGCTGTCCCCAGGGGGTTGGGTGTGGTCCCTCTGGGCAGCCTGGCCCCAGGATGTGCTCAGTCATTTCAGGTCTGTCTTGTTTTACAACGACCCTCGTGTCTCACTTATTCCCCCATCTGTGAGCTCCAGGACGAGCAGGGACTACATCCTC